CCACCTGTAAAGGGCTTCTATTAGGGGTTTAGGGCTTAGGGGGGTTTAGGGGTTCAGGGCTTTGGGGGTTTAGGGGGTTTAGGGCTGTAGACTGACATTTAGCCCTGGGAGTCTGCTAATATACAATTGGTGGAAAGGTGAGCCTCTCAAATGGAGGACAGGGTTTCATGACAAGCCCCGAACCTGGGAAGAGGACGGCCCGAAAGTCGGGGAGGGCAACGGCATCACGGCTTAGGGTTTAGGATTTAGGGTTTAGGGGTTTAGGGTTTAGGGGTTTAGCATTGAGGGTCTAGGATTTAGGGGTCTAGGGTTTAGGGTTTAGGGTTTAGAGGTCTAGGGTTTAGGGTTTAGGGGTTCATCGATTCATCGACCTCATGCTTCCGTCAATGCACGCCCACCCTTTCGCGACGCTCGTTCTTCGAAAGCACGCTCCCTCCGAAAGCCCGCAGCAGAAAAGCGGTGCAAATTGAAAGCCTAAACCCTAAACCCTAAACCCTAAAACCCTAAACCCTAGCCCTAAACCCTAAACCCTAAACCCTGATGGTGGCGAAGATGATTCAGACGCCGATCCTCAGTACATCCTCTCCTTCATCGTCCGAGTCATCTTCGTCCTCTTGTTTCTGCTAAATGGAAGGTTCCGGCTAGATGGAAGGCTGGAGTCGCAAAAAAACTGTGTTTTCTAGGGGTATATGATACTATAACTACCATATCATAAGGACCCCCCCCCCGAAAAAAATAGTATGAGAAATTATTTAGGCCCCTATATTACAGCATGGTTTTTTGGGAGTTGCTCTGTCGAGACCCTAGGGGGTGGGCTCGTATAGTGAACCTGTCTGAAACAGTCCATGCTCGAGTGGTTTCCTGTGCGTGTCAATAAAACTGTTTTCGACCTAGAAAAATTTGCCGCGCGTCAGAACGCATCAGTCAAGATAGCCGAAAATGCCTGTGCCCGGTGCACGGCAGCAACGCAATAGATCTGCGCTGGACAGAGCTAGGTTTCAACACTAAGCAGGAAGCGACTGCGCTCTGCACCCTGCGCCCTCAAATTTGTAAACCCTAACCCCCAAACGTTCAGCAAGACAAGGCCGTGACAAGCTGGAGAGGGACGACATCATCAAGGCAGCAGAACTTTGGGTTTATAGGCTGTAGAGTTTAGTGTTTGGGGTGTGCCATTTGAGATTTGGGCATCTGAAGCTTTGAGTGGGATTAGGGCTCCCATAATTGGGATCACATATGGTCATGTCAGTGAAGGCGGCCCCCCGCTGCTTCAAAGACCCTAAGGGCCTCCGTTTAGGAGCCTCCAGTTGGTTGAAGAAGTAAGACTCAAAGGAATAAACCGTCCTAATACGGCTTGTTGGCAAGCTAGTCTAACTCGGCAGTGCCTGACAACAGTGAGCCTCACAGTTGGTGAACGTGCCCTTACAAATGCACACAGAAGGTGTTGTCGATGACAGAATATGTTCATGCGGTGGACTGCGCTCCTCGAAACTAACATGGAACCTCTGTCAAGGACGACTATGGCCCTCTGCAAAGGGACCTTATTGAGAGGGTCTATATCCCCAAGGGTCCCCCGAATCCTAACTCCTAAACTTCAAAACCCTAAACCCTAAACCCTGCACCCTAAACCCTAAACCCTACCCAACAAGGCCCGGCTGCTTAGCATTGCCAGGTCTCCACCGAGGAGCAGCGATCCGAGATCACCAAGCTCTGCATCTTGCTGGAACATTTAGGGTTTAGGGTTTGGGGTTTAGGGCGTAACTGCCACGGTTTAGAGCCTAACTGCCACGGTTTACTGATTTCCCCATTACCCAACCTTTGAACTTTTGGGTTCTTATAATTTAGTACGTAGTACTCTGAAAGTTTAACATGTTATTTCCCTGGCTTATTGGGGAAGTAGGAAGTGTGACTAACTGCCACGGGTTAGGGTTTAGGGTTTTTGGGGTGCTGCCGCTACTTCTGCCAATTCCTTACGCATCTGCTGCTCCTCCTCCTCTTCCTCGTGCTGACTACTACTGCCACTACTACTCCTACTCCTACTCCTACTCCTACTCCTACTCCTACTCCTACTCCTACTCCAACTCCTAGTCCTACTACTACTACTACTACTACTACTACTACTCCTACTACTACTCCTACTC